CCCCAGCCAGCCATGCTGGCTGGGGAACTCTGGGAGTTGGAAGTCCACCCATCTTAAAGCTGCCAAGGTTGAGAAACATTGTCCTTGGGAAGGATCCAGTAGTCAAATGTATCAAATCCAGCAGTCAGAACTATCTGGTAAACTGTATGTAAACAGATAATAATAGTAATAATGTTTTTCCCATTCTTCTTTTGGCTTTATCAGCTGCTTCCTTGGGGGCAGGCTGGGGACTGGAGGGACTGGGATCGGGGGCAGGAGACAGTAAATATCATAGTTTTCATGGGATCATAAAGTTGGAAAGGACCTAGAGGCGTCTGCTCTAACCCCGTTTGGTGAAGGTGTTACTAAAGCCTTTTGGACTGAGGGCTTTCTAGTCTACGTTTGAAGACCTCAGTGAAGGAGAACATCTCACTCCATGTTCATGTCAACCCTTTCGATATCTAAAGGCTGTCCTCAAACCTCCCGCCTGTGGTCCGTTCTGCAGGCTAAATATACCCAGATCGTTCCTCAAAGGGCTTGGTTTCCAGTAGTTTCCAGACTTTCACCACCTTGGTAGCTATCTTCTGAACTCATTCCAGTTTGGTGATGACTTTTTTAGACTCCGGTGCTTAAATACGGGGCTCCCGATGGGGACTGACTAGGGCAGAGTCAAGCTGAGCAATTCTTTCCCATGATCTGGACCCTGTTCATGCACCCACAATAGCACTGGCCTTTTCAGCAGCTGCATCAGCCTGCTGGCTCAGGTTTAACCTGGGGTCAACAAGGACCCCCAGATGCTGTTCACATGGACTACTGCCCAAACAGGTCTCCCTCATCCTAGACTCGTAGCTTTTTTTTTTTTCTTTCCAGACGCAGAATCTGGCATTTCTCCCCGTTCAGTGCCCTTCTAATCCTTTTGACCCACTGCTGACTCAGGGAAGGTTGGAGATCCGTTCTACTGGGCAGTAGGAAACAGTCCTACAATTTGTAGCTCTTTGATTTTTTCTTCTGATACTAGTTTTAAAAGTAGTTTTACTACAGTTGACTCCTGTGCTTGTTTAAACCAATCATAAACCACCATAAACCAATTTACGTACTGTAACAGAAATGCACTACAACTTTTTTTAAGTGTCTGAACCATTAAGACCAATTCACAGCCTTGAAGATATATTCTGAAAGTTCACTCTGCTCAATCCACTCTACATAAACAAGGAAGACTAGCAGATTCTTGCTAGATTTCCTAACCATCTTCCTTAATGTTGGGTTGGAATTTGTTCTTGGAAGAAGAAGAGATCATTCTCATCCCGTAAAAGGGAATGCATTTCCTGGCTGCTCATAGGCTTGATGCATTTCAGGTCTGCAACAGTAAAAGGAATTGCCACTGCAGCTATGGATGGGCCCCTCCTCATTGCAGCGGCCGGGGGTTCGGAGGAAGCATCGACAGCGGCCCCCCTCCTGAGCGCACGAGTGAGTATTCCAGAATCTCAGGCCATCGTTTGGGAATCTTGGTTTTTTGTCTTTGTTCCCCTTTTCGGCTTCTCCACGGTCATCTCAAGGTTTGGCTTCTGGAACTCTTCAAGCGAGTTACTCCTCCTCATCAGATGTGAAGATGGTCTCTTGAAAGAGTTCCCCAAAGAGTTCAAGAAGACTCCTAGGTTGTAGTCCTTCCTTGACAAACGGAGGTTCTTAAAGTCCAGCTCCCATCAAAAACCTGTCCCAGGGAAGCCCCAGGCCTCGACCGCCTGTGGACCTCGCTGATTACTGTAGAAGCCAATGGCCAGCCCCTTCTATATCATTGTGGTAGTAGAAGTTGAGCTTGACCTGAAGGAGACCACCGTTACTCATTGCAGAAACTGAGATTTCCCCGCCATTCAATTCCCAGAATTCTATAACATCCATCATGGCCGTTGCTGAGAATTCTGGGAATTGAAATCCACATATCCAGAGGACACCAGACTTGGGATGACCCAGAATGCCAACTTGGGAGCTTTCTGCTGCTGGTGCGCCTATCTGTAACTTGGACATGGGGTCACAACAGAGGACAGAAGGTAACCTGTTTTGTTGCTTTCTTCCAGAATCGAAGAAAACATTAATGCTCGGTTCGATTATTGGAGTAGCTTTGCTTCTCTTGGCCCTTACTGCAATGCTTAAGCGGTTCCTACCATCTTGGTAAGTACAAGCATTCTGGCCCAACACACTCTTCCTTTTCTCAAGAGTTCAGAGATGAGAAAAAGGGAATGTTTGTGGCATTCCCCAACCACAGTTGCTTGTTTGCTAAGAAGAAAAAAAACGAGCATTTCCATTTCTCTCTCTTCTCCGGGTCTCCCAGGGCCATTCCTCAGAAGTGGAATGGCTTGTAGGCATGCATAGCCATTCTTGGTTCCTCCATTCCAGATGGACTGGAAGAGCTTGGACCTCTCCCACAAACTACTTGCTGGAATTGAAGGGTAGGCAAATAACCTACACAAATGGCTTTCAATTTAGTGTGGTAGCAACCGGTGTTAGAATTGACAGTGAACACATTGAAGTAGCAGAAACATGCCGCAGACTAGCACTTGACAGAATAGTTATGAAGGCCTTGGAAAAGATGTTCAGATGCCAAGATGTGTCTATACCCCCAAAGATCAGAACAGTGCAAGCTCTTCTGTACACTCTACTCTGTGACCCTTGATGGAAGCGAAAGTTGGACTTCAAAGAAGCAGGATAGGAAGAGTATGAACACTTTTGAACTTTGGTGTTGAAGAAGACTCCTGAGAAGACCGTGAACAGCCAAGAAAACAAATGGATCATTGAACAGATCAACCCAGAGTTCCCACTCCAGGCACACACGATCATCCTCGTTTGTATCCTAGTTCGGACACATGATGCGAAGACCCAGCTCCTTGGAGAAGGCTCTGATTCTGGGAAAGGTGGAAGGAAAGAGAAGAAGAGGACGACCAGCAGCAAGGGGGAGGACTCAGTCACACCGGCAATGGGGGCATCATTGGAAGACCTGAAGGACCAGGCTGGGGACAGAACATCATGGAGAAAATCTATCTAAGTGGTTGCTAAGAGTCAACACTGGCCTGATGGCAACATAATCCATCCGTCCGTCCCAAGTACTTCCCTGCCAAAGGGTAGAATGTATAAACTCACCTGTTTAGGTGGTTCAGGAACTTCTCTAGTTCTTCTTCATCCTGACATACAGCCTGCAAAAGGTCAACGAACTCAGCTCAACCACCAGGACTGTGAGCAGCTCACACAAGGAACATACTAATCACCCCCAGCAGCCACTCATTAACAACTCAATAGAAGAAAAAACCCTGCCTAATCCCCAGGAAGATACACACATATACAGACACCAAAACAAGCAGCCACTCATTAACAACTCAATAGAAGAAAAAACCCTGCCTAATCCCCAGGAAGATACACACAGATTTGACACCAAAACAGCAGCCACTCGTTAACCCAAACCCCACACCCCCACACCCCCACA